GGCAGCACGAGTTGCGGGGCTTCAGCCCTCGCCGGCCACGACCGGCCGGCCGGATAGGCGGGCTGACAGGAGACTCCATTCGCCTGCCTGTCCGCTGTATTCAAAACAGCGGAGGTGTCGACGGCGATCCAAACTCTCGCGTTCGGATCGACTGGACCCACTTGAAAACGGCGGAAAGTTTACTTGAAAACCGCTGTTCGCTCCCCGACAATCTTTTCGCTCTGACACTCGCCGTCGTCGGGGCTACTTGAAAAGCACTCGGGTCAGTTGTCCGCGCACTTTCTCCATCATACATCGTGCGTTGGAAATGTGGACGGGCTGAAGACATTTCGATGGCCTCTTGACAACCATACGGGGTTTACGACGGCAACGCTAATGGTTCCCAACGAGGATCGGATTCAAGTTCAGCTCCACAGAGCTCAGCCGGAGGAGTCCGACCGCAGAGCCTGACCGATGTAAGGTCGACTCGAGCCCAAACCCAATCGCATTCTTACGAGTGAGCAGCGATTGCGGGTTAAGTATGCGCACCCTAATGCACGGGACGCGGACTCGTGCTCTTTCTCGGCTCGGTGCTCGTCTCACGACGTTGCCAAGGAAACTTCAAAACATTGAGAACATTTAACTTCACTCTCCGACCCGAACTAGCGTCTCGGCATAAGACCTCGACAAAGAATTCCGAATGTAGGTTCGCATGGCTCCGCATACTGTATCGAGATAGATAAATTCTTTGGTACTGTCGCGGACGACGCCGACGATTATTGGGGAAAGATGATCGGCATCGCTTACATCGGGCATCTTGAGCGCTCAATACGAAATTATCGCTCCTTCGGTTGCTGTCGTCGCCGTAGGATCCCGTGCCGACACCGAACGAATGCCTTTATACAAAAACTAACGGTGTTTCATGGAACGTCGTAACGCTTCGTAGAGTTCAAGCTGGTGATTCAGAGCGCCGGGTTTTGAGACCAGCTGCAACAGGCCTCAATCAAGCGTGCGCGTAGGTATCACATAGAACTTCAATGACGGAATGAACAAGCGGGCGGACGAATGCTCGAGTACCGAACGACAGCAACAGCGAAGTTGAATGCATATTTCATCATGTTACAAGTCGACTAGCATTGTTCCCCGGGCCACTAGGTCAGCGAGCTTGGTAGCTTTTGTCTGATGATTTGCCTCGCGCGCCGATATCCATCGTGCATTCTGCATCGCTCCGCACCGACCGTACTATTGTTCGTCCGAATGCGCACGGGTATAAGCCCTCGAAATTGTTGAACAAACCCAGGGTCAACCCGATTCGCTGTTGCTCTGATCCCGTGTCTGACGACGGAGCCAGGAACTGCTCCAAAGCAAGATTTTGAGCGGAGTAAGGTGTTCACTTGTTTCGCTGCGTAGGTGGAGTCGAATGGGATTCCACCGTTGGGCAGGACATTCCTTCGGATTTTTCACTCGTTCTGAACGGATCGACCAACCGATCGGACCGTGCCGACTCGAACCACAGATCAGCGAGCCGACCAAATCGAGAAGAGTGTCCATTCCACCCGAAGGCACCTGCCAAAGGTCATTAATAACGGAATCAGCTGACAGTCGGCTACTACCTGGACCAGCTAGTTTGGAAACCAGAGCACCAGCGGCTGCTGTTGCGGCGGCGGCGGAGACTGAATTAACTCCGAATTCGGCACACCCCGATTTCACCCACACTTTTCCTCTCGAGCAAGTCTTTTCACCTCTTTTGGAATGCGAGACATGCCTTTCTTTTTTCACCCCTTTAATCCTCCTCTCCCCAACTTCGCCCATCTAACCTCGATCTTGTTCCTCCATTAGCCGCTGTCGGAACGCGAATTGAGAGAGACAGCGAAAGTAGATAGACACTCCCGGTAGATGAAGAGAGCCACCAGCGACTGATGAACGCCGTCGCGATGAGGAATCGGTGAAATATTTGTTGTGACACCGGTGAAAATCTCAAGTGAAACGAGGGCGCTCTTTCTCTTCAACTAACTCGTTGAATATCTCCACTTTCACGCTGTTAGTCATTAGGCGCGTTGTTTTAGAGCTCCGAACTCCGGGGTTGAGAGAAACGGGGTCTGAATTCTCGTGCACCTCAGGGACGATACACTCTCTCACTCGATCAGCTCCGAGGATCGGGCCCGTGTCTCTCCCCGCGGGCTCAAGCGTGTAACTTTTAAAAGATCAACCGAATGGTCAAGTGAACACTGGTCAGTGTTTCGGGCAGTTTGCATTCGTTCGCATTAGTGGCGAACCATTGAACGCGTGGCCATATTGAGAGAAATTTGCCAAATTCGTTTTCAGCGAGTTCGACTCGAGATCGTTCTTTCTCTCGGCTGAGAGCACTCGACAGTCCTCTTCTTCCCCCGATCGGGGGAATGCTCCGCTTCGAAGTTGGCTCCAAGCAACTTGTCTTCTACTTGCGTCCCTCGTCGTCATCGATGTCGTCGACTATCTCGACAGCACCGGCGGCGACGGTAGCGAAAGGAAAGAAACAGCTCTATTGGCTTTCCTATTACTTTGAAGGACTTCGCCTAAACATGATCCTCCTTGAACAGCAGCAGCAGCGGTCCGTAGGCGATCCGTCAAAGCGGTTAACTCGACGCCGACCAGTTGTGATCGAGTGCAGTTATTTCGGCACGACTGGCGATGACAGCGCTAGATTACCTTGTGAAGCTTTTTCTCCTCATCCTCGTCCTGCGAGCATTGCCCATTTGCCGGAGTTTTTTCTTCCGTACAACAGACTCGTACAAGCGGCTGGACGCCTGTTCTGATGGATTTGTTGTAATAAGCCCGTCGTCGAGGTCTCTACCTAGAACCTGGTGAGCGATGAATGCGAACGTATAGTTATCGCGAAAAGAGCGGACACCGTTCGGAAAAGGGGTCACCCACAGGTATCTTCCGCATTTCTTCCTTGTTCATCGGGGGACGCGAACATGGAACGAATCGGACGGGAGAGACCAAAAGCTGAACTCGAGCCAAATCGAATCGTTACGAGCGGGGAAGCTGCCGGCCACGAAATCAAATCAGATGTCGGCCTTAGGTCTGTAAATCTCAGGTTTACCAACAAATCCGTCCTTATGCATGGTCTGGAGACCTCCTTCTCGGCCGAAGAGCGGGGAACAGCGAGCAGGGACGACGACAGCGGCCGCCGCGGTGACGAGTATGACACACAGCAGAGCGTGGGCCGGTCGATGCTATTTTGCATCTGGACACCCCAGGGAAGAAGGGCTCAAAGAAACATTCCGATACTTCAACCCGGGTCGTCCGGCTGCATTGACGACCGAACAGCCAGCCAGCGCCCAAAAGAGATCCGATAACCAATATGCGTGTGTGAGCGCGAAGTGTACGCGATCTTCTTGTGTATGAGTGCAGCGACCGGAGCGAATTCGCGGGATAGAGATATATATATGAAAGCAGGAAACCCTTCTTTTGCTCCTCTTATTTCTTGGCAGGCTGCAATTATCGTTTGATGATCTCCTGATCCGATCAAAAAACTTCTTTCCCCCTCTCTCCGTGGCCATATTCAGAGGAGGCGCTGTTGCTTCACTCGAGCGACGATTGCGACCTGCTCTCGGGTTTCTATCGAACCGATCTTTTTGTTTCTTTACCGTTCGATCTCTGAGCTGACCGTTCTGCGATTCGTCGCTCGCGATTGAGGGAGAAAACTGAAAAAACTCTGCTTGTACGAACTCACGGTGCTCCGCTGAAAATTCCGCAGCGAGTTCCGTTGACATGAGGGTTCTCTCGTGTTCTCCTTCGCCCCGCTCCCTTTCCGAACAGAGCGAAGCGAACGCGAGTTTCCTTTGGGGCCAAAACAATCTCACTGAGATTCTACGGAGCGATGAATCCTCCTGTCACCCCTTCTTCCGGAGCAGACCCTATCGCCGATGGTCGTTCATCATCGATGATTCCTTGCCTCCTGAACTCTTTCCCCTGTCGAATCTCGTCTTGACAGCGCTCCTGCCGCCTCCGACAGCAACAACCCAGACGCCACATCCGATCAACTCCCGTTCTCCTTCATGCAAAAATTCAATGCAATGAAGGAGTCCAAATTTAAGAGTGGAGTCACTCATAGTCTGAGAACAGCAGCAGTCGACGCGGCCGTTGCGCTGCGTCCCATACACCGAGCTCGCGCATCATGCATCGAGCCGCTTCGACTACCGCGGCGACTATGGGAAATGCAAAATCGGACCCGGAACAGCAAACATCCTCGGCCAAGTTTCCGTCGAGCAGTCTCTCTCGAGACGACTCAAGACATTCGTTGTCCTGTCTCGTGAAGGACAGCGATCCGACATCGCCGACGAGGACGACAAATGTTCCTGTTCCCAGGCCTCTTCATCGCACTCTCAAGCTAATGCATTCTCGGAGAGGAACGAAACAACTTTTTCTACATCGCAGGTATCAATCGCGTTCGGCAGGGTCCATCGCATCGATGTCCGGAGCCAGCGGGACCGACACTTATTTCCCCGTTAGAGATAATGAGAGGTTGCAAACGCTGCGAACAAATTCACATGTGATAAATGCTCGAACACAAAGCCATGCAGGGGTGAAGCTCTCGAGCGCATCCATGTTTCGAGCATTCCTTCAAGTCAATGAGGATCATTAGTTACTGCCGTGCTTGTTATGCATGCTTTGTAATAATTAGTCATGTGGTGAGGACCCAGACCGAATGATTGGAACAGAAGGCGATGAGCATGTTTCGCGGATTTGGGCACCCTCTCAGAATTTGTACAATCGAAAAAATCTAGATCATAATAAACCATTGACCATCAACATTTAAGATGAGGCGACTTATTTAGGAAAGATAGATGGGAAAGGAAATTCGAGGGTCAGAGGAAAAGTGAGGTGTCACCGAGAGAAGTCGCAAAATCCCGAGGGTACTCGGCATTTGTTCAACTCCTCGGTCTCTAGGCAAAATCATTGTGGCTTCTCGTGGGGAGACTGGTGATAAAGTCAGGCGGTACAGCCTACTTTTCGCCACGTATTAAAGAACTCACTTGTATGCGGATTATAGACTGGCGTTGCTGTCGCAGTGGAACCTCCTGAGCCTCGTCCTGAAGACTCCAACTTGGGGTTCTGTGCATTCATTTTCACTGAAACGGTGCAGAGTAGAACAGCCGATGAAATCACCAGAAATTCATTCAGAAATGACATCATCGGTGACGAGAAAATGGAAGCCATCGTACGATGCGCCGAAGAAAAAATCTTCTAGGGAAGCTTTACCAATAATTCATTTATCTACGATAAGGGGACCGAGATTCCCCGCAGAATCCCATCTACGACATCGACCGAAGTCTCAGCTCGTTCGCTTACGGACTCCGGAGTGCAAGAGTGCACTGCGTATTGAGCGAAGCGTGCTCAAGGCTGTGTGACGTCCATCATCTCCCGCGTCTCGCATCTACCCTTGGGAGCTCTCACCGACCGAGCGATAGTTTTCCCGCTACTCCCAAGACCTCCTACCCGCTCTCGAGGTCATGCAGGAGACGCGAGCGAACCTCGACGGCGAAGAGCGTCGCGGAGATTCTCGGTCTCCTGATTGGGGAAGTTTCCGAAAATGGTCTTTTCTCCCAAGAGTACAGGAGCCGGTGCCGCGAGTGCTCTGTAGATTGGCGATCCCGCTCGAATGTCAGCCGATTATTCAACATCCGTTTGACATTCGTTCCCCCGATTAGGAGGAATGGCCGAGAAAACATTTCCTCTTTGTCGAAATCCCTCACTGGGGAGAAAAATGTTCGGACCCTTGAGACGCGAAGCTCGGGAAACAATTTAATCAATACTCTCCGGCACAATGATCACCACCCGTTAGCTGAAACGATTGTCCACCAAGACAAGTGGTGGTGGTGACGATTGTCGAACGGGTGGCGATAAGATCGCGAACGAATAGTGAGCAAATCGCCACCAAATGGCTAACGAGTGGTGGAAAAACTGACGACTCCGCGCCCAGACGCCTCGAAGGACCCCCAGCGGAGGAAGGGCAGCCGCGGCGGCGGCGGAGAAAAAATCTGACAGTCAGCAGATTGAATTAGCGTAGTAATAGACGCACAATCGGAACGATGCCGAATTCTGTTCTAATGTGGATCTATGGATCCGCGGGGGGAATCAAGCAGCCGACTAAAAGCTCAACAGATTCTCCGGCTTGATTCTCCGCTAACACCTTCGACCCCGATTAGATTTATGGCTCGATAGCCAGACATGACAGCTGAGCGGCTGCCAAGCAGATAACACTCGACCGCATACGCTCCCTGTTTGTCTCTCGGTCGTGGCTCTTCTGCTGCTCCTCGCGGATCTCACATCGTAGACACACAATTCGATGCCATCGATTCGCGGGGACAGGATTGGGGGATATTTCCCCTCGTCCAAACGATCGACCGAGCGACCGACCGGTCGAGAACGCCATGGCTTCATTGCTCGCTTGACTCTCTTTCTGGTTGTTGTCGTCGTCGTCTTCTTCTTCTTCTCAGAGACCACACCCGTCTTGCAACGTGTCTCCCCCGCTCACGTAGCCGAGATGGAGTTGAATCGGACGAATGTAAACAAAATTATAGATTTTTGCGCTTCGAGAACAGAACGAAATCTATCGGTTTTCCTCGTCGCTCTTCCCGTTTCGAAATCCCCTTCGCTGTCTTGTTCTCCTGCTCTGTCTCCCTTTGTTATTGTTGTCATGATGCCGCGAGTGATGATGACGCGGAAAGATGAGCCGAAATTGCGATGCAAAAGACAAAATCAGGGAAGTGACTCAACCATCGCCTCCGAGAAAAATCAATCGAGGGAGACTCCCTCAAATCAGTCAGTCCGAGAGATAAACCGGGACAGAGAGGTGATGACACTCGCCCGCTCAGCGATCGATGAAGACGAAAGGCGAGATCATGGTGAATTCGACTGTGATTTCGGAGTGAATCCCCCGACATTGAGCGATGCTCCACTGCGTTCCTCAAAGGGCTCGAGAATTCTTACACACCCATGGAGAGCGCGACGGCCGTATCGCACGCCGTAGCGATATTCCGGGACTAATTTCATTATTTCACCGTTTCCGTTCGTCAGTGAGCCCGAGCAAAGTGACTCGACGATCGCGACTCATCGCGTGAGAGGTTTCATAACACAGGAGCGGTCCGCCAAGCCGTGCAGTGGTCATGAATTAGCTGCTCGGGAACGGTTTCCGTGGCCGAAACCTGAGCTTCTAGTAGACTGAATTATTTTGAGATTAAACGGTTCTCGACAAGGTCCGCCGGCCGGAGACGTGTTCGGATCGACGTTCGAGGGCCCGGCGCCGAACTTCAACGTTCGGGTATCCCCATTCCTCGGTGTTGTGTCCTGCATCAGAGGACTGCCGTAGCGAGTATTCAAACGACGAACGTGCGAGTGAAACACACACGAATGATCTCCGTCTAGAGTTTCGATAGAAATGTCGGATCATGGTGTCTATCAGTCCTGCGAGTGTGTGAGCGAGCGCAAGCCAACGCTGGGTTGAGTGGGCGGTTCGGATTCATCAAAGTTCGTTCGGTTCGTCTTTCCATTCACACTTGATGATCGACCACTTTTTAAATAGTTTTCTACTCTGAACTACTACCCCGCTTCGACTGCCGCCCACACCAGTGTCATCAGCTCTTTATCTGCACGGCTTCCTCTCGACGAAGCGACAACGGCGGCCGCGGCGGCGGCGATCGAGATAGCGGGGGGACCGAGTTCGACTTTGAGATCTTTTTGGGGAGAAAAAGCAACCGCCGACCACAGCTGACTGAGAGGACTGTACCACTGGATACAGTGGGCAATGAGATGGCTTGCATGGTTCGGTGACACAACTAGCAGCACCGCATTGTGGCCACCATCGCAGTGAGCCGCCTACGCGTAAATCCATGAGTGACAGACAAGTCGAAATCGGGGTTTAAAACTTGTCAACTACTGCATCCCTGGCCCGAGAGGCGCGGCTTGCATCCCGGAGAAACGCCAAATCTCCCGGGGGAGGGGACGGGGGACAAGTGGAGAATTCAGGGAGCGATCCCACAGTCCCTCCCCCTCGATATTTACAGAATCATCGAGCGCAGATTGGTCCGGAAGCCTCGTCTCAATGCTGCATTCATGGAGCAGAGAAATCGGTTATCGAGTGCCCCGATGCCCTCCTGTCATCGAATACTTGATCAGAGGTTTGGGGACAGAAACCAAAAGCTGTCCGATTTCTGCCGCTTCCTCCATGGATACGGACGTATATTGTACCTGTTTCATCTGGATGCTCCATCAAAATTTTAAATATTATGGAAGCCGCTCTCGCGAGAGACGGGCGAACCCTGGCTGCGAGGTTCAGGACACGGCAACCATGGCAACCACGGTCTCGCATAATGCGACCCACGTTCGTCGAGCTCTGACTGCTGCACTCGGGACGCCTTCGGAGAGTCGATCTTTCGAGAAAATCTATTCATTTCTCTCAATAATTACGTCACACTTGTTTTCCAAGTTTCCTTATTCTTCCATTTGATTCCAGAGGCTTTCAGATTTCCCGAGGGGCCGCGCGACATTTCGATATGGAAAAGAAGAACTCGTGCGTCGAGCCGTTCGAGGCTCCGCACAAAGACGAACGGATAGCGCTCATCTCGCAGTCTCGAGCGGAGGAGAACTCGATCAGGTGGCGCCTAATTAAAGACATTAGGGATCGGGACCCGGGGCTCTACGAGGATGAAGAAAGGGAGCAGGTCTTCAGAAGAAAGTTTCAATTGAGAGGGCTTAAATTTTGACGAAATAGCTTTAAAAGATTAAGCGGCGATTAAGCACCTCAGGATTATGATCTTGTAAGATAGGGGTCGTCGCAGATGGATAGTCCCGGCTCGTCAGCCCCTCCGGAGACTTCCCGAAGCAGTCTCGCTCGCACCTTTGCCTCTCATCCAGTCGTGCTCTTCTCCCCCCAACCAAGCTAAACAGTGGGGTCGAGAAGACGCAGCTTGGAAGTAGCAACGCGATACAGAACCCCGGCTAATAAGATAACTGGGGATAACCATAATTGCGTTCTCTTTCGGAGAGCTTCGCCGCCGACCCGGTGGACGGAGATCAATCTAGATTATATCTCTACTCATCGCGGCTGCTGTTACGGCTTCATCTCTTCAACAACAGGCGTCACTCATCAACACTTGGCCTACGACCCGCACACCGGGCACCTCAAAGCCCGATTGCTTCCCGTGATCGTTTGACATGGATCTGTCAGGACAGCGGTGGGATCGACAAGGAAGCCGCCGAAAATCGCAGATGTAGGAATATCACAGATTTTCGCCTCCGTTTCGGGCGCGGTGTCAGAACCATGGCCTCGTACCTCAGTCCGTATGAGAGAACCTCTATACGTTCGACTGTGTGAAGTTCTGACTGACGGTCGACGAGATGCTTTACGTTTTTTTTTCTACGTTCGTAGTGAGTAGTTGGAGTTGCTCAGCCAGTGTAAGTACATCCGGGTGGAAACAGTGCTCATCGGTGCAGCAATACGGTTTCGGCGGACCAGCAGAAAGACCACGTAACGGTAAATTAAATGTAGCCGCCGCCAACGCGCTCACTGCCTGTCCAGATGGCGCGGCTGTTTTCGGGGTTCGCTGGATCAGCGGTGCTGACGAGTTACTGAATCGAGTAGAGCGTCGTCCACACGAAGGAACGAAACTCGGGGTTTCGTGTGCGTACTGCCGCTGGTAGCAACGGACCGAGCGGACGAATGCGTACGCCATCAACAGCTCCATCAGTGGACCGAAGAACCGCTGCACAGCTGAGCTTCCACCGGCGGCGTTGATAGACGGTTTGAACCACTAGCACAAAAACCTCGTTCCACCAGTTTGACACTGTCATAGGGAGGGGAATGCAGAATGTCGCGCCTTTTTCTCTCGACCGACCTGACACAAGCCACGCCGAGGGCACCGTTCGATCTTCCGCCGACTCGAGCGGAAGGATTATCCCCCGGCAACCGCCTCGAATGAGATGAGCAAGACTAGGCCTAAGATCCCGATCGGTACGGAAGGAGATCGTGGTAATTCTTGTTGTGGTCACTGACCGCGCTGATCGATAAGTCGCAAGCTACGAGCGCGAGAGCAATACTTTCCCCTCATGGCATCGCCTACGATATTTGAATTTCTCGTGGCTAACGGCACAACTACGTAAAGATGGACGACTCGGCTACAGAGAGCTGTACATAGGTACATATATATATGTGCATACGTAGGTACCAACCTGCGAGTCTGAGAGCTGACATCCGTTGAAACTCGGGTTCTTCGAGCCATTTGTACATTCTCCGGAACGTTTCGCGACCAGACTTGAGTTTGCTCCACGGTTTAGGATTTCTGAGCAGATCCGAGAGCGTCCCCTGCGATCGGCAGAGAACCCTCTGCGCGAAAATGGCCTGCGGTATGCTGTAGCGTTTCAGTTCGGCGCTGATTCTTTGAGCAAGCTCCTTCGTGTTGATCTCCTCGACTTCGTCGGCCGAAGACGACGACGACGTCGTACTGTGACTGGTCTGCTTGTTAGTCTGGCCTCCGAGACCCGCGGAACTTTTGTTTCCGCCCCCACCGCCGCCACTCTGAATCAACGGGTTTCCAGACGTCGGCGAAGGTACGCTTGCGTTTACCCCTGACGATGCTTGCGATATAACCCGCGAGAGCGACGACGGCGTTGCGCTGCTGGTCGAAATGCTTACGGCCGTGAACGGTTTGACGTCCTGTTGGGGAGGCGTTGCGGGAGCCGCCAGATGAGCTGCGGGAGGCGTGTTCGCGAGTCCGTTGAGACCACCGATCATGGTGGTGGGCGAGTGCAGTGCAACCGACGAACCGGGAGACTGGGGCGAACCGAGTCGTGACAGTTCACGTGTGGCGTGCGTATACGAGTCGTAGCTCGACACGAGACCTTTGTCCGAGGGCGATGCCAGTCCGCTGGCACCGTTGCCGCCGCCACTGCCGGTTCCCCCGCTCCCACCACCGCTACCCCCACCACCTGCACCGGAACCGTTCTGTGAATAGGGCGGTGAGGGAATCGCGGCGTTGGCCAACATGGGGGCCTGCCCCCCTGGAGGACTCATGTTCATGCCGCCCATTGAGCCCAGTTTATCATAGCTAGGATAGCCTCCCATTCCCATGCCGGGCATCAGCGACGAGAACCCCGCATTCGGATGCGGGTGTCCGTAGTGCGAAAATTTATCCGACATGGTTGAAATGGGCGGTAGCGGCTGTAAGGGCGTTAGGGTGGCATAACTGGAGGCGTTCGACGTAAAACTTCCTCCGGGGGACATTCTCCCGCTCGGGTGGTGGTGGTAACCGTCTCCCAAACTCGCACGGAACTCGCTTGCGTCGATCATTGCGTCGTCGGTTGTCGCAGCTGTTGAGCCCACATCACAAGTCGAGGACGTCACTGGGGAACAGGGGCTGTCGTCGTCGTCCTCGTCGTCGTCTACGGTAACCGCGGCTAGAACTTGTTTCGGGTTGTTCTGCCGACGTCTACTGGTACCGTGAACTACGTCCCCGTCTTGTTTGTTGCTAGCACAACCGCTGCTTCGATGTCGGTGCAGGGTTATCGATACAGGTGGCACCGAGGGAAGGGACGTCGATGAGGACGAAGGACGTAAGAGGGTCTTGTTCGATAGACGTCGTCCGACCGCTCCTCCGATAAGGAAAAAGTCTCGCTCCTCCTCCTGTTCACCTCCTCGCGACCTTGATTGTTGTCCTTGTTGTTCTCGCTGGTGGGACTCGAGTTTCCGGTGTTGTCCCACCACCGGTTCCTCGTCCTCTCCTCCGACTCCCCGTTCTCGTTGGGACTTCCGTACAAGGGATAGGATCGACGACTCGGCGGCGGTCGAAGCTTGTGCTGATAAACTGTTTGCCGACGGCACGAGTCCCGAGTCGGACCAGCGACTGCAGGCACCTGTTGTGACCTTGGCGGCGCCGAGCTGGAGCTCTTGATCTCGGAGCTGGGGTCGACGTCGTTGGCGTATTCTCTGCTGAGGAACTATCGATGTGGTTGCAGATGCCGGACCGCCTGTTTCGGGTCTACTGGTGAAGCTGCGCGGTCGACTGGGAGCGGACGTCGAAGACGACAACGGAACACCCGTTGACGTCAACGTCGGCGTTGACACTGAGGTGAACGTCGACGGCGACGACGGGTCGGCGACGTTGCCCACGAACGCAGGTGTCCGTATACGTAGCAGTTGTGAGTCGTTGTCCTGTCCAGACGACAACCCGGCAACCGTGCGTCTGGTTTGTGTCGCTGCTGCAGCTGGATCGACTGCCCTCCTCGTGTCTGCTGAAGTCTGTGGCGCGGCAGCGGCAGTAGTCCCAACCTCAGGCTCAGGCTCCGTTTCAGTCGTTTGCAGCGCCACCAGTACCGAGCCCCGTAGCAAAGAAGCTCCGCCCAGACGACTGAGATCCGCTGAGGGCGGTAACAACCCGACTTCGTCGTCTTCGTCTCCAACGTCGGGGCCAGGCGGCGCGGCGAGCGCTCGCACCTCAGCCACGGCAGCCTGTACGAGGCTGAGGGGAATAGGATCGGCCCCTTCGAATGAGGACAACGACGAATCATCGTCATCATCCCTTCCCTCAGGACAACGTTTCCTGCTCTCGTGTTCCCTTTCCACCTTCTCGACGACGTCCTCGTTGATGATCTCACCCGTTTCCTCGGCTACCATACCTCCTCCACGAGCGACGACCGTCTGCGAGTCACCGCAGCTCACTAGGGGCTCAGAGCTCTCGGAGTCTTGATCGCCGTGAAGACAGACGTCTCTTCTTCTCCCACTCCCGTCCCCGTTGACAATGCTGTCATGGTTCGCATTTTCCGCAGCAGCGCTTTGTTCCTTCACGACGCCGACGGCCTCGTCGACGTCGTCGTCGCTTCCGACGTCACCGAGTTCGTGTTCGAGACGATTCCCACTTGGCACCGTGGATTGGCCCGGTGCCGCCGAGAGTACGGATCGCAAATCTACACTTGTTGTTGGACCCAACACGAGCTGTGAGGACCCGCTCGGTGAATTGCCGACGGCAACAATCCGAGTGGAGCCATGTTCGATCTCCGAGACTCTATCGGTGTCTTCTTCTCGTTGTTGTTGTTGCGCTCTTCGTGGAAGATTTTCTTGTTCCTGTTCTTCCAAACTGAGTTCTTGTACGTGTTCTTCTTCTTGCTGCTGCCGCGACTCTTGCTGCGGCGGCTGCTGTCGATCGTCGTCGTTATCAGCACGGGCTGCAGCGTTGCTTTGAAAGTCAACGGCGCCTTGTGTAGTTGCGAGAACGCTCAGAGGCGATAGAAACGTACTTTGCAATTGGCCCATGGGATTCGTCGACGTCAGAAGCAGTACTACGGTCGGGGGCTGGCCATCGCAGGAAGCCACAACCAGGGGCTGGAGTTGACGGAGCAGCGGATTCGTTGACGGGGGGTTTTCGGGGGAAACAACCACTTGGCTCAGAGGACGTCCGTCCACTATCTGTCCGGTGGGATCCATTCGGAGCGAATAGTTCATCACCTACTTTCTACTTACTTTGTTTTGATGCCCACTCACTGACAGAAACAAACCTCACGCGGAATCGAATCCTCTGAACCATGACACCACCTCCGAAAACACTGATCGAGTTCATTTGGACTGGTCGGCGACGTCCGGAGAAAGGCTCTCAAGTCATTGTTCGCACCCGCTTAGTCTCAAAACAAACACAACACCGACACAACAACAAAAGCACCACCACTACATGGTGAAATTCATCAGTATCGCCATTTTGCTTCCGAGTTCGCTCGTAGAGCTCAGACTCCGCGCTGAAGAGCATGCGCAATCCGCCAAAACTCAGATAGGGTGGATCATTTTGTTCACGCGGACCATTTGACCACGACCTCATTCCCCCCAAACTACAGGCAGCGCATCGCCTAGCGGGACTCCGAACAGCTGTCCGTGCGTGTAGAACACCGGAGCGACCTTCTGACGAGCACCTGAGAGCTTCACACGGAGGCGATGACAAGTTCGGTGCCGACCGAGCAATTTCGAGCGGCAAATGTCGCTAGCAGAGTCAGCATTGAATCGCTTCACGGCGCTTGGTTTTGTTTCCGGTGTAATGACCGTTACAGAGCGATGCTCGCTTCCCCTTCGAGGCTCCGTTGGCAGAAGTTCAGAGTAAATGATCGATATCAAGCGTTTTCAGAACGATTTCGGTACTGGGGCCGAGATATCGACGGCGCTACCACGCCGCACCCTCTCCGGAAACGCGGCTTGGTAAAATACTACCCCTGCTCCTGAGGATCATCTCGTCCTGTGGTATATCCCGACGCCCGCCAAAACAAAACAGCTCTCCTCTATCGTCCCGCTCAGACCGGAATTCGATCATTTCATTCGCGAATTCTCTTTTCCTGAGAGCGGAGGTTTGTGTGCTCGAATGTCCTTTCCAAAAAAGGATCCAGGGGAATGTTCGGGGCGACGACTGTCGTCTCCCTGCACAAATTGTTCCCATCTATTCAGGCTTGCCAAGCCAGGAGAGCACGCGGGAACTGATCTAGTCTCCGGCGAAGAACGAGTGGCGCGTCCCAATATACTTTCCAAGAACCGTCACCGCTCTCCTCTGATTCGCGGAGAAAAATGACAGACTCTAGATAGGTTTCCTCCAAGCGCATACGGTACGGTGGAAATTCATGCGGGTCCTTCGGCACCGGAAACTATGATTTCGGACACGGGCAACTCCGGCCTCATATTCGGGGCGATAAGCTTTCAAAGACCCTGGGGAAACCATCGCGGACCTAGAGAGGACAGCCGAGTGAGGCCGATCAGAGCGCGCCACGTGCTGCCCACGTCCGTCAAGGGCTTCTCATGGCGAAGCAGAAGAAGGTGAAGGCCGCAGAAGCGTTGACGGCACTCGACCGCGAGATTGTCTCGGAACTCTCCCTCTTCCATTTGTTCCTCTCGTCTCTTCGTCGGTCCGAAATTTCGTTCGTTTTTCGTCCGTACGTCGGTCAGTCGGTCCGGTGTGCTCGTTCATTCGATTCCAGCTCGGCTCTCCCAATCGGAGAGGGGTTCGGATCGATGGTGAGCGGCTCCGCCTCCATCGATCGTTGCTTCATTCTTCGGTACGCCCAGCTGGGCCACCATCGCCCCCAGGACGCCTCGACCCGTACTCACCCCTCCTGAGCGACCGAACGACCCGCGAACCCGTCCCTTGGAGCTCGTTCCCCTTGTGCCGCCAAGACTGCAGCCCGGCCGACCGGCTGGCGGAGCGGCCGAACGAACGAGCGAGTGACTGGCTAGTCTGCCTCACAGCGAGGGAGCACGCAAATAAGCTATGGACGGCGCCCAGACCTCGGTGAAGGGGAGCGGCACAAGCCGCCGAGCGAAGTTTGGACAGGCGCATAACGGAAAACAGCGAGTCTTCATCCATGCTAGACATGCTGGCTGGCTGGCCGACATAGGGAGAATTCGCCTGGTGGGCATGCAGGCAACATTATTTCCACGTCTATCGATCGGGCCGCCTCTACTACAACAACGCCAAGAGCCACAACATCATCGACGTCGACGTACACATCTGCAGGAACAGCAGAAGCAGTGGCCGACCCGTGGAACAGCCGGGGCCTTGCAAACCACGCCCTAATCTCCGCTCGGGCTGGATATATAACTAGGAAAGTTCTCCGCCCAACGTCAACGCGACCGAGCCTTCCGTCCGATTCGCACTGTGAACCGCTGGTCACCTTCAGCACCTCACGCGCCAAGGGGCTCCGCAAGACGTAAACTGCAGAAACATGTTTCACGACACGCTCGGCGGCGTGACTTGTTGGTTTTCATTCAGGAATGAATCGTATTATTTTCCCGGAGGAATTCGACACCGGGAAAGCGCGAGTATCGGTGGGGGATCTGAAAATGTTCCGTTCACCCATGAGATTCCTAGATTCTGCGACAGCCGCCCTCATCGCTTTCCATCGGCTTCCTGTACTCGTCACGGTCGATACGGAATTTTCTCGCGGTCCGGGCGAGGGAAATTCTCAAATCAAGTCGAGATTAACCGTTCGGACGATGAGAGAGACGAGAGCGGCTGCAATAATGTCGTTGTTCCGCGATGAGCAACAGATGAGAAGGCTCTCAATGGAATTCCATAACGGATATCGGTCTATCGAGTTCATCGATTGAAGTGAGCTCATGAGTAAGAGAGCGAGCGGCGGCGCCTCTCGTCTCTTCCACTGGATCCAATTCATTTGTTTGACATCGGTCATCTTCCCGTACGCTTATCCATATTCTCCCGTCGATCAATTATTAAGTCCGTGGCGGAGACGTTATACTTTGCCTCTAGATGGTGGATAATGCCTCTGTAAGCATCCCTAATCGAGACGCTGATAGCCGTTTCTCTACGAAGTCACCAGTCGATGGCGGGAAACGCCACGTACGTAGTCTCGTGTATGGGAAGTGGACATTCCTCTCGCTGGCGACGGAGGAGTCTGCAGTTGATGTCTTGTTTCCGATTTGCGTAGCTCGATGAAAATACTCGTGGGCACCGCAGGGCCGTCGAGCGTTCTCGAAAAGGTTGAATCCTCGGCTGGGATCGGGGGCCCCGTTTTGAGCTGTGGCTCATCATGGGATGATCGGTGGCGATTGGTTGAGCAATCGCGAGGTGATGACTCTGATGGGGATAATAAAACGTTGTATCGGAGATGCTCCACAGACAACCGATTTGACGGTATACCCACAGTTATCGGACGACCCGCCTTCAACTTGGGGACCCGGAAGGCTACAGTGTGTCATACGATGATCTCTGATAGAGACGAATTCTGGAACCTTGGCACCATCTCTTGATTTCAGGAGATGCGTGGAGAGCGCTCGGTTTCGAATTTCTCCCGGAACAGTCTGCAGAATTCTCCATCGATAGGAACGGCACTGCGCCTTGGTGACGACCGGGCGAGACCGTAGAGTGAAGAGACGAATCTTGATCGGGAATCGATGATGCCATCGGGATGTTGCCGTGCATGCGGAGCATACAAGGCTCTGTAGCCTTCCCCCTATTGAATCGTGCAGCCCGAAGGGAGCATTTCTGGAATTTGCGGCTTAGATCCTTCTCAATCAGCCCGCACCTCGAAGGACCGAACGAAGGAGGACCAAGCCGCACCTGAGGGATTCCGCATGACCGAGGTCGATGGAACCTTTTCCTCATCGACTCCGTACCCTGAGCTTAGCTCCCAAGCATGTTGCCACCGATAATGCTCGGAATCGTCACGAAGTTATCGATCGTCCGAGGTCGTCGAATCCATCCGAGTCGACAAGAGCCGCGATGGCGACATCGACGACCTGGTAAACTCATCGCATTTCTTTAAACACAAAGAGACGGAGACCGTACGCTCATTGCAAAACTCAAGCATTATATCGGACCACATACGAGTACGTGTGATAGGCCTCAACGCAAACGGATACACAGCTTGGGAATATTGAATATTGAAATCTAGCCACGCATGTGAGCTCTTAGAGCGAAATAGACCAGAAGGAAAAAGATCCGAATTTAAAATCATTGCGCTTCCGTGGAGCTCCTATGGCTCTACGGATTTCACAGCAAATGTCGGGGCCGGTCTTTTCCGTTGGTTGCTCCGTTCGCTCGTATGTAATGTTCGTTGGATTGGAGTACTCCTACGGGTCGATAGTCCGATACCCCGGGCTCCGCTCTTCGAAACTGGGGTGCCTACCCCGCCTGCCTGCCTGCCTCCCTCGGCCTGCCTCGGCCAACGCTGAAACGTGGGCCTTTTTGAAGAATACGTTGTTCGAGACCGGGAGAGTCGAACAACGAGCTCTGAGGCTTCGACGAGGGGTTCGCACGGACCTGGCGATGTAATTAAAACTCTCCATCTATGTTCGGGGACAAGCGAAAGAGCAATCAGTCAGCTGAATTGAAAACTTTTGCCGGAAGGAGTGGAACGCGCTCCGAATTCCGCATTCCCGCCTCGCATTGCCCGAGAATTAACAGCGGAGATCTCGCTGGATGTGGACTTTCCGTGGCACACCGCTTACCGGATTTAGTCTCGAAAGTAGCATGCTCCCAAAGAGGTGTACTCGAACGACTTTGAGACGAAGATTGAGGCAGAATATCGGCAAGAGAGAGAGCAGTTTTCCCTCGATATTCTTGAGGGGGATCGAGGGGTATACCCCCCGTCCGGGACTCGTTTCTCACTCGAACACTCTCTCCTTCTGAGGCATCGGCGGAAGGAGCACCATCAGGTTTCAATACCATCATCAACGTTTCGCGACTCGCGACCATTGCCCTCAGAGTCCATGCATCGGTGGTACTGGACTTCAGGTGGTACCTCGAACTCCAACAGATCAGTACGACGCCAACAAAGAGACCTCCGTTACCCCACGGCTTTCGGTATCCAATCCCGGCCGATGTCGCTCTGAGAGCAGAGGCGGCTCTTTCGGCAATGCAAGTCCGCAGTCGTGCTCAGGACCCTCTCAGAGAGCAGAACCGTCGGAAATTGAAAGACGTCCCGTCGCTCATTGAGCGCGAGCGATTAAGGTAATCGATTAGGTCATCACTCCATCACTTCCGAGCGACTAATGGCCGCTTCGCGATTCATCTTCGGCCCGAAGTAGCTGGTAGCTCGATGGAAATTCTTGGGTTCAAACGGCAGCGATCGTATGATACGCTTTCCCTACGCTCGCGTGTCATCGTGGCGAGTTAAATGGATATTCTACGCGGGAGAAGTTCCCGGAAACGTGATGGTCCTGAGACTCGTGGTGGGAGAAACAACCTGTCGTCTTCAGTTCCTTCGTGGGCGTACCCTCGTCATATCCGAGCATGTCGATGAGGTCTAAGTGACCAAGCGCCGCCAAATAAATTGGAAATCGAAATGATCGAATATTGAGAAAGCAATCTGCTCTCCGCGCTGCTCGCTCGTGTTTTTCTTTCACTCTTTTCAGTCATTGAGTGACTGCGAACGGCTTCGCTGGTTCCCCGCTTCGAGTGCTGTCATCCCTCGTCTCCTGGCCGCCGTGCCTGCTGTCGACGCCGAGTAACCTCATCGGAAGCCAACGAAAGGAAACCGTCGAGGAGTCCCGATCCGCTCGCTAGGCGCGCTTGTCGTCCAGCTCACCGCCAAATACAAGTATCGGTCTTCATCTGCGGCGGGGGATATCGGTCTTATCGCTTTATCGGAGCCTATAATACAATATCTGTCCGATATCTGAGGTGGAATCGACTCCAGACAGAATCTGAAGGACGCTCGTCGTCACCTGTAGCTCCGCAGGGGCAAATTTTCGCCTCTAATAACATTCTGAGGATGCGCGGACAAAGACGTGACGGGGACGTAAACAGGGGGCGGAAGAACATCAGAAATAATTCTCTGACTGCCGAAACACCGATACGACGAGAGCTTGAATCAGCTAAGAGGTCAAGCTGCGTATAGGAACGGGAACGGGAAGCTTCGGCATGAGGTTGAGAATTTGCTCATCAGTTCGGGGGCTCAGCGATCAGGATTTGAACCCTTTCGGTGCTACCAGTAGCCTCTGCCAACAAACCGCCGCTTCGGCAAGGATCTACGTGTTTCAATGCCATGAGGACGGCCCTGGAGTTACCGGACGTGAGATACGTTCAATTATCTAGAAATATCCAGATATTGATGTAGATCATTCTCTGCATGCGATCCAATTTCATGTTTGCCAGAAATTCGTTCGCTGAAGCATGGCATCACATTACAGCTCCGCCAGGAAGGATAGCGGTTCGACTCATGGAGAAGAGTGCATTCCCTAAAGTGTGACGTCTTGAAGACGGTCATTGGATGATAGATTCATTCTCAGACAGGTATCACGTCTCCCTCATCCTCATGTACATAGAGCGCAGAGGAAATCGAACGGAGCATATCCGAGCTCCAGCGCAGAGTGTATCCGCGCGCAGACCTTTCTGGAGCTGCGTTCGAGGTTTTCCGGTCAGAAGGAGCGAACGATATTTAGAGCATCCGAGGGCGCTCGATTGGAATCTTGCACCGAATGGGAGTCTTGTCAGAATTCAGCCGCAGCTCTGAGGTTTGCTGCGCACGAAATCGCGCGCCAGATCACGAGTCCCTCTTCGCGGGGGCTTGAAGCAAGCCTTCCATGCTTGCCGATGGTGTTCATGCTCTCCTCATCCCATGACCGTGATGATTACTAATTACTACATAACCTCATTCCGGAGCTATTTCACATCTCCCGGATATTTCGAAGACTGTCGACCGTGCTAGCATTTCGAAGTAATTTTCTCACAAGCATCATGTGCGGAACAGGTAGTAGTAACATGCCTCCATGCTCGGAGGTTCCTCCCTTCCCCCTAAAATGAGCCGGGTGGATCTGCAGTGGTCACCTCGAAAGTGAGTGTTACTGTTTCTTTGTGTTCGGACTGCGCTCATCGGAGGCTTCTCATCTGCGATCCCTCAAAGGGAGACGGATTACCAAATATCTGAACGAAGTTTGAGGCTGATGCCCCTGGAAAAATCATTCAGGAGAGGTGAAAACTGTGGAGGACGCGTCTTTGTTCGGAATGTCCCTCAGATGAGACCGTGAGCTCACTTGATCGTACATTGGACGCGGAAAAGTTTCGTGCCTCCGAGGAAGCCGCCGAGAGCTCGCCTCGCAACATACGAGTGAGGAAACTCAGGAACTCTGAGATGGGTGCTGCCCTCTGCCGGCTCGAAATGAACACGAATTTCGGCGTGGGGAATTTCAATTTCCATCCGGTTCCGATTTCGGGCGTGAATGGCTTTCCAGAGAAATAGAACAGGTCAGACAGTCGTCGGTCGAAGACCCATATCTACAACGAAGGTCCTTCGACGTCAGTTCCCGTACTTTACGAGGGGAGATCGAACTCCGGCTTCTGCGGATTTTTCTTCCTCGATCAAGACTTGGAACGTTTCTAATTACTACCCCCATACCATGTTGAAGCTGGAAGCTGCTAAATGCTGCGATACAGGAACGTTCCCCACCTGTGAATCTGGTTCTAAGTGTGATTACGATATGCGGCCGTCGCGTCGGTGACTCCAACTGAGTGGAGCGAAAGAATTGTCAACATAGAGCCATTCCGATCAGCTGAGGACGGCGAACATGTGAGTCTCTAACGTTCCCGGCCCTTTTCCGTCTTCTCTTGGCCCTTGTTCTGGGTCTCTTGGACGGCTAGTCTCTGCCATTGGTTGAACATTTGATGAGCCTTGGAGAAAGAGCAGCGCACCCCTCTGGAACTTCTTAGGGGTTTCGCCTCCGGGCGGAGTCCGTGTCCCCATGCCGGCTTGGATTGCCCTCCGGTAGAACGAAGAGGAAGGGGAGGTTCCGAAACGATTTTTCAAGCCGTTCCCGTTTCTCAGGGAGAGATGCAACCCGATTCGCAACAAGGGTCTCGACTCGATGGAGGTGGACACCCTGTACCACATCGGATTTTCTACGAATCAAAGCCTGAAAGAAATGTTTGGCGACGTTCGGTTTGTCTGCATGGGCGGAACCGCTTACAGGATGGAGAAACTCGCTCGGTGAGGGCTCCCTCCAAACTTCGAAGCTTCGCGTCGAAACGCTGTCATCTCAAGGCGAGCTCGGAACGACGATGAAAGGAAGCGGGACTTCCCGACTTCCGTTGACCCTTCGCTCCGATACTGATATAGATCCTCGAAGACCTTCATGGTTGCATTTTACAGGAACATCGTTCGAGACTTTGGGATCAAATTGCCCACGGGAACTGATCTCTGTGATCTGTCAATGCATTCGCATAGATATTCCATGTTCAAAGCGGGACCCGTGCTGTGTGTTGGGCACGGGATGGGAGCGCCGTCGGTCTCGATTCTTCTTCACGAACTTTTCAAGCTGCTGTACTACGCAGAGGCTAAGGACGTGATTTTCATCCGAATGGGAACGTCCGGCGGTTTGGGCTTGCCGCCTGGATCCATCGTTGTGAGCAAGAAAGTGATCAACGAATTCGGCGAGACGAGCCATCCTTTCGTGAGTTTTCCCGGGTCAGGAGCTGTTCCTTGTTCAGGCAGGAGTCGGAGAGCTGAATGTTGCAGGCTGAGGAGAGAGAGAATTCCCGAAAGTTACACGAATCATGAACGAATGAGCCCAAATGAGCCTGGATGAATATTCCAGGCGGTTTTAGGCCGACGCATCGATCGACCTTGTGTCCTTCCTCAAGATCTGGCCGATGAAATCATAAACGTCGGCCGGGCAGTTTGTCCTGATGTCACCGTCGTGGGAGGTATCGATGAAAATATTCATGAATTTCTTTGACTCGATTCCAATCCCAGTCCATGGGCCCGTAGAGTCGGGGCCCAGAAGCCTGTTGGGGATGATTTCTCAAAAGTTCTCCTCCACCAGCAACCACCATGAGTGCCAACGACTTCTACGAGGGTCAAGCCCGCCTCGATGGGGCTTTCTGCGACTACACAGCGGCCTGTAAGCAGGCCTTTCTCTCGGAGCTTCACTCTGAGCGCGGAGTCACCAACATCGAGATGGAGAGCTCCGTTTTCTCAGCCATGTGTCATCATGCAGGCATTAAAGGTAGTTTCCGGCCGAGAGCTCTCATATCTTGCATACGCTCGGCCCCTTTCGAGTTTCAGTCAAGTCCGATGAACATTCAGCTGAACCCTTTGCTGTACTTTCTAGCGGCGGTCGTTTGCGTCACCATCGTCGAACGTCTCCAAGAAGACCAGATCACGTGCCGCGCTATTTCTTTGGACGAAGCGCAGATGCGTCTACAGAGCATAGTCATGGCATTCATCAAGGAAAAACTCCATTGGGGATTGTGATTTCATTATTTGTGGCATTTGAAAATGGAATCCGTCGTCGGAAGGGAATCAGCCACGAGAGTCAGCAATGAGTTAGTAAACCAAAGCTCGAGACAGCTGGATCGACTGGTTATGAGAACAACTGAACAACGATCGGCAGGCCGGGGGTTGAAATAAAGTTTCGTGTCCTAATGAGCATTTCATCTTACGAATGTGATGTTTCTAATCGATTTAGAGATCACGCGATAATTCTAACGAAGGAACGAAGCGTCGCCAAGGTCAGCGATGAATGTCAGCGATGATTCCAGTCTCGGCTAAGCAGGCGCGTGCCCAGGAATTTTTTTTGGGGGGGGTCAGGGCCATTGTCTTGGTAGGGGCAAACTACCGATGATGATGAGCCTCAACATGGAACTCTACGGGCCAGAAAGAGATCT